CGCGCGCCCGGACCAACGCGCGCGCCCGGACCAACGCCCCCGGACCAACGCGCGCGCCCGGACCAACGCGCGCGCCCGGACCAACGCGCGCGCCCGGACCAACGCGCGCGCCCGGACCAACGCGCGCGCCCGGACCAACGCGCGCCCCCGGACCAACGCGCGCCCCCGGACCAACGCGCGCCCCCGGACCAACGCGCGCGCCCGGACCAACGCGCGCGCCCGGACCAACGCGCGCGCCCGGACCAACGCGCGCGCCCGGACCAACGCGCGCGCCCGAACCATCGCGCGCGCCCGGACCAACGCGCGCGCCCGGACCAACGCCCCCGGACCAACGCGCGCGCCCGGACAAACGCGCGCGCCCGGACCAACGCCCCCGGACCAATGCGCGCGCCCGGACCAACGCGCGCGCCCGGACCAACGCGCGCGCCCGGACCAACGCGCGCGCCCGGACCAACGCGCGCCCCCGGACCAACGCGCGCGCCCGAACCAACGCGCGCGCCCGGACCAACGCGCGCGCCCGGACCAACGCGCGCGCCCGGACCAACGCGCGCGCCCGGACCAACGCGCGCCGCCGGACCAACGCGCGCGTCCGTACCAAAGCGCGCGCCCGTACCAACGCGCGCGCCCGGACCAACGCGCGCGCCCAGACCAACGCGCGCGCCCGGACCAACGCGCGCGCCCGGACCAACGCGCGCCCCCGGACCCACGCGCGCGCCCGGACCAACGCGCGCGCCCGGACCAACGCGCGCGCCCGGACCAACGCGCGCGCCCGGACCAACGCGCGCCCGGACCAACGCGCGCCCCCGGACCAACGCGCGCGCCCCGACCAACGCGCGCGCCCGGACCAACGCGCGCCCCCGGACCCACGCGCGCGCCCGGACCAACTCGCGCGCCCGGACCAATGCGCGCGCCCGAACCATCGCGCGCGCCCGGACCAACGCGCGCGCCCGGACCAACGAGCGCGCCCGGACCAACGCGCGCGCCCGGACCAACGCGCGCGCCCGAACCATCGCGCGCGCCCGGACCAACGCGCGCGCCCGGACCAACGCGCGCGCCCGGACCAACGCCCCCGGACCAACGCGCGCGCCCGGACCAACGCGCGCGCCCGGACCAACGCGCGCGCCCGGACCAACGCGCGCCGCCGGACCAACGCGCGCGCCCGTACCAAAGTGCGCGCCCGTACAAACGCGCGCGCCCGGACCAACGCGCGCGCCCGGACCAACGCGCGCGCCCGGACCAACGCGCGCCCCCGGACCCACGCGCGCGCCCGGACCAACGCGCGCGCCCCGACCAACGCGCGCGCCCGGACCAACGCGCGCCCCCGGACCCACGCGCGCGCCCGGACCAACTCGCGCGCCCGGACCAATGCGCGCGCCCGAACCATCGCGCGCGCCCGGACCAACGCGCGCGCCCGGACCAACGCGCGCGCCCGGACCAACGCGCGCGCCCGGACCAACGCGCGCGCCCGGACCAACGCGCGCCCCCGGACCAACGCGCGCCCCCGGACCAACGCGCGCGCCCGGACCAACGTGCGCGCCCGGACCAACGCGCGCGCCCGGACCAACGCGCGCGCCCGGACCAACGCGCGCGCCCGGACCAACGCGCGCGCCTGGACCAACGCGCGCCGCCGGACCAACGCGCGCGCCCGTACCAAAGCGCGCGCCCGTACAAACGCGCGCCCCCGGACCCACGCGCGCGCCCGGACCAACGCGCGCGCCCGGACCAACGCGCGCGCCCGGACCAACGCGCGCGCCCGGACCAACGCGCGCCCCCGGACCAACGCGCGCCCCCGGACCAACGCGCACCCCCGGACCAACGCGCGCGCCTGGACAAACCCGAAACCCTAAGCCTGGACCAACGCTCGCACCTGGACCAGCGCGCGCGCCTGGACCAACGCGCGCGCCTTGGTCCACGCACGTGCCTTCGTCCACGCGCGCGCCTTGGTCCACGCGCGCGACTTGGTCCAGGCGCGCGCCTTGGTCCGAGTGAGCGACCTGGTCCTAGTGAGCGACCTGGTCCAATGTGCCTCTCGCCCTCCCCCAGTACATTCTCTCCCCTGTATTACCCCGCCTTACCTTGCCTTATCAGTCCTGGCGGTGTGGAAGCCTCCTGTTTATGACAACGCGCACAGGGCATCAAGCTCATCACTGCATCCACTTCTCATTCTCCTGCTCCCCGCTCTCACTCCCTGCTCCCTCTCACTCCCTGCTCCCCGCTCTCACTCCCTGTTCCCTCTCCCACTTCCACCCCACTTGCGGAGTGGAAGCCTCCAGTGTATGACAACGCACGGGGCATCGCGCTTGTCACTGCACAGGTGCTTCTAATTCTCTCCCCCACTCATTCCCACTCCCTCCATGCCCACTCAGTTCTCGCAGAGTGGGAAGCCCCCAGAGTATGACAACGCACGGGGCATAAAGCTTGTCACCACACTCGTACCTCATATCTTTCACACACACAGCAATCATTACCCTGAATTCGACCCACCCTCCTCAGTACTAGCAGAGTGGAAGCCCCCAGTGTATGACAACGCACGGGGCATAAAGCTTGTCACTGCCTCGACTCGAAGAAACTCACCACAAGTGAGATATTCCCCTCCCTCTTTCGCTCCTGTTTTGCCTCTTCTGCTCCTGTTTCCCCTCTTTTTCCCTGAGAGTCCATCCCCCTCGCCTCCGCCCCTCTTCCACTCAAAGTAACCATCGACCTGTTTTTTAGATTTCCCTCCTTTTCCAAATTCTGCTATTCACCCACCCATCATCAACCATCCGTTCGTCCCTCCCTGCAAGCAGTGTGTGGATTCGCACATCCATCACAACAACCTCATCAATAACATCCTCGCTAAGGTGATTGACCAGTATAGCTGTGTTTTGCAACATGAAAATGTTTTTACAAATTCTTGAAACTGATGCGAATGAGTTGTAACTCATATTCCTCTCCTCTTGTCTCGTCATAGAAATAAACATCCCCTCTTCAGCATGGAAACCTATTCTTTGGCCCACAAATATCCGGGCTATATTATTTCACTATTGTTGAGCCATCTTTTCTTAAGATTTGATCCTGATGAAACGTGGCTTGTGCCTGCAGATCGAGGGGAACAACGCAGGGGCCGATGATGCAGTGATGCTGGACGTGCATGGATACGTCAGTGAAACCAACGCGACCAACATTGTATGCACACTGCACCACATCAAAAGTTTTATGCTTTCTACCCGAGTTTGTTTGGCAATCCATATGCTGCCAACGTAGTGTGTAAATAGTCATCTTTGTTTGGGATTTCGTGTGTTGGGGTTGCTGTCCCTCCCCATTTCTCTCCCCCCTCTCCTTCCTCGGCTGACTCTGCTCTACCACATCCCCCCCATCTCGCTACCCACCTTGTACCCACTTGCAAGTGTCAGTTCATGGTGAAGAGAGAGCGCATCTTGAATCTGCTCCCCCTCTTCCCGCTGTTCCTGCCTCTGTATGTGTCAGTTCATGGTGAAGAGAGAGCGCATCTTGACTCCCCTCACCATGTTTTCATCCGCCTCCGCTCCCTCTTCTTCCCCCCGTCCCTGCCATGCATATATGCCAGTTCATGGTGAAGAGGGGGCGCATTTTAACTCCTCATGCCGACAGCTGCCTACCAGGGATCACCCGTGCCACGGTACTGCATGGGGAGGGCTGGGGGTAAATAGGGGAGGAAGGGAAGAATGGGGAATATTGAAGGGGAGAAGGGGGAATAGAGAAGAGGAGATGGGGGGAATAAGGGAGGAAGGATAGTGAAGGAGGAATAAGGGAGCTCTTCATCTTGACTCCCCTTGCTGACAGCTGCTTGCCCGGCATCACCCGAGCCACGGTACTACGTGGGTGGGGTTGGGGGGAACTAGGGGAGGAAGGGAAGTATGGGGAATAGGGAAGGGGAGAAACGGAAGGGGAAATAGGGGGAATAAGGGAGGAACGAAAGTGAGGGAGGAAGAAGGCGCTTCAGTCTGACAGAAGGAAGAAACTTGTTGAGGGGCTTGCATACCACCCGACGCTGACAGCTGCTTGCCAGGAGGTTGACATGTATTGTGCACCATACATGTCAGGACACATCAAGCCATCATCCAGTCACCCACCTTCTGGTCATGCTTCATGCTGTGGCAGGTAATTGAGCTGGCAAGGCAGGAAGGCATTCCAATTCAAGAGTGCAACATCACCACGGCCCAGTTGCACGCTGCTGATGAGGTGAGATTGTTTGTTCAAGGCTACGGTATGTTCTTGTGTGCACACAAGCCACTGCTTGCTTCTACTTTCCTTGCCAAGCTAAAGAAAACCCCCCTTTTTCTGATGGGCCTGGTCCCATCTCCAGATATTCACAACAGGCACAATGGGGGAGCTTACGCCCTGTGTGCTTCTGGACAATCGCCCAATTGGAAACAATCTAGATAGCAGCGGATGCAGAGCAGACAGCGGTAGCTGTATTGGGCCCATCACACAGAAGCTTCAAGTGGCGTACAAAAAGCTTACGTCGGTGGAAGGCTGGCCATTGCCATTCTAAACTCTTAGTACCTTTTTGGTTCTGGTGTTTAGTGTAAATAGACGAGCTCGGTATATGATACGTGGTTGTTCTTGGCTATTGTGATGACTCACAAAAAGCAACGGTATTTTTCGTTCATGTCTGAATTCTGAGGCTTCCAGTAATAGAATGGAGCAACAAGAGATTGTCTGTGACAAAGAGCTTCAAATCTGCGCAATAACATGTTATGATCGGGGATAGATACAGTAAAGCACGCACTGTATTTCAAGTGCGGCACTCAACAGACGAAGCCTGGATTCCCTTCCCTCCCTCTCCCAACACAAGAGTCATAAGGACGTGGTGAATTCCCAAGGCTCGGCCAGCAATCTGTTTTTATTGGGTCGCCGACTCGCTATCCCGCTTAGATCTCAAGGCTCGAATCCTTGCTTCCTAAACTCGGCCGTCGGGTAGGCCGTCTTCTAATATCGCAAGAGCCTTTTCTTTCCGTGCGAGCGCGTGAGCGGCCATCATGCCGGAAATCGATCCGGATCTCGACGAGAAGAACCCGCCGGCCCTCGATGAGGACGATATCGCTCTTTTAAAGACATATGTGCGTTGGCATGCATTTTAGATTAGTACCATTAGACGTATCGATGAGGACGACATCGCTCTGCTGAAGACATATGTCCGTTCGCATACGTTTTAGATGAGTACGATTCGACGTCTCGAAAGACGATATCGCTTTTTTAAAGACCTATGTGCGTTTCGCAGGGACCTTAGGATAGGAGACTATTTGCGGAGGCTTCATTGCCGTTCAGATTCTCTGCAGATGTTTGGACCCGATTCGTCAACCATTCGTGTGTCCAGATCGTTACGTAATTCAGTCGTCTGACATCCAAGCTTCCACCCTTGAATAGTTTCGATTGTTTCCTCTTTCCTTTTCCCCGATTTATTTCAACATATAGGGTCTTGGCCCGTACTCGACGTCTATCAAAAAGGTTGAGAAGGATATCAAGGACATGGCCAAGAAGGTCAACGACCTATGCGGTAAGTCTAGGCACTTGAGTGTTTGATTATGTTGCTGACGATGAGTTTATTTGTCGTAACGGTCAACGACCTCTCAAAGTCGTCTCGCTGGTAACGGTCCATCTGCGGTCCGTCAGTTGTCCGTCAGTTGTCCATCTGCGGTCCGTCAGTTGTCCGTCAGTTGTCCATCAGCTGTCCGTCAACCTTCGTTACGAGTTGAGCGAATTTCTTATCGTCCTTGCAGCGGTCGACACGGAGAAAAAGCTGCCTGATTGATTCAAGAGACGAATTCGTCACGTTTAGAGAGTGAATTTATGTTTCTAATGCATCAAGCACGTTAGCTCCAGCTCTTTCTCGGGAATTGTCATCCTATTGACCAGATTATACCTAGAATTCCTTTTAATCTGTTTGACAAGGAAGCTGGACATCCAAATTCGTTGCTCTATCTTTCTTCTCCGGTTTTGTACTTGATGTCACCTGATTTCGCCTCCTGTGAGTCGATGCTATCTGTCGCCACATGATCTCGTCGGATGTCGTTCTGTGTCACTTGACATCGCCTGATGCCGCTTTATGTCGCATGGTGTCGCCTGAATGTCTGTGATGTTCCCACTGCAGGGATCAAGGAGTCGGATACTGGATTGGCTGCTCCAAGCCAGTGGGATTTGGTGTCGGACAAGCAGATGATGCAGGAGGAGCAGCCGCTGCAGGCAAGCACACCCACCCCCACGCACCCACACACTTCCTGCTTTTTCTGAACCATTATTTAGTCGACGTACAAGGCACCTGACGTCTGGCTGCACCGAGCCAGTGGGATCTAGTGTCGGACAAGCAGATGATGCAGGAGGAGCAGCCGCTGCAGGCAAGCACACCCGTTAGGCTTGCCTTTTTACGACTGACTGAGCACGCCTGACTGACTGACCACAATTGACTGAATGAGTGTGCCTGACTGATCACGTCTGACTGATTACGCCTGACTGACTGAGCACGCCTGACTCAAACCCAGCTCGCTTCTTCCTCGATCTCGTCGTTCAACCAGCGCCCTTTTCATTCTCCTCTTCTTTTCCCCCTCTCCGTTTCTCTCTCCTCTCCTCTCATCTTCCTCCTTCCCGCTATCCCCTCTCGTCCTGCCAGGTGGCGCGCTGCACCAAGATCATCAACCCCAACACGGACGACGCCAAATACGATCACTAACTGGATGCAAAGTTATTCTCACCAACTCTTGCTGCTCTTCCTCCCTCGTCTCTCCTCCCGCCCTGCCAGGTGGCGCGCTGCACCAAGATCATCAACCCCAACACGGACGACGCCAAATACGTCATCAACGTGAAGCAGATCGCCAAGGTGCGCCCCTCCCCCTGTATGCCAGGACTCCCCAAGTATGCCTCCTTTCCTGTGTCCGTACCCCCCCCGCACTTCCTGTCCCCCTCCCCAACCCATGCACACGCACGTCTGTGGACTGGCATTGTTTCAATCTCCATTACTCCCTTTCCCATGTCTGTATTTCTCTTGTATGATGCAGCCTCGTTATTGACTTGGCTGTTAATCTGGTCTGTTAGTGTGGTGTTTCTCGTTTGTGTATTTGTATTCTCTGTTGCTCCATGCATCTGTACTACATTCATCGCATCGGTGGCATACTCGTCTCCCTGTATGCGCTTGCTGTGTTTGTGCAGTTCATGGTGGGGCTGGGGGGCCGCCGAATCTTGAGGCGCTTAGGAAGACATTTCTTTCAGCATCAGAGCCTCATTGTGAACTTGACTGTATCCTCTGTGTGCGTGCTTGCTGTGTGTGTGTGCAGTTCGTGGTGGGGCTGGGGGACCGTGTATCACCGACCGACATTGAGGAGGGCATGCGAGTGGGGTGAGTGCGTGCATGAAAGTGGGGTGAGTGCGAGTGGGGTGAGTGCGTGCATGAAAGTGGGGTGAGTGCGAGTGGGGTGAGTGCGTGCATGAAAGTGGGGTGAGTGCGAGTGGGGTGAGTGCGTGCATGAAAGTGGGGTGAGTGCGAGTGGGGTGAGTGCGTGCATGAAAGTGGGGTGAGTGCGAGCATGAAAGTGGGGTGAGTGCGAGCATGCGAGGTTCGAGGTGCCGCAATAGTCGTGGTGGGGCTGGGGGACCGCGCGCATGTCACCGATCGACATTGAGGATGGCATGCGAGTGGGGTGAGTGCGTGCATGCTGTTCTATCCCATCCCTGCCGTCCATGCCATGCCATTTTATGCCATCTGCCAATGCCGCGCGTGCCAACCACCATGCCATCTAGGTTTGGGCCTATGCTGATGGTTTTCTCCTGAGATGTTCGCACCAGAATTGGATACAAATCTGACTTTTGAGTCGACTCAAAAGTCAGCTCGGTTTTCTCCTGAGATGTTCGCACCATAATTGGTCACAAATCACCATGAAGACCAGACCCAGTTTCTCGTTTCTTGATTGTCGTTTCCCTGCTCTTGATTTCCTGTATCCATGTTCAATCATCTTGTGTTTCAGAGTGGATCGCAACAAGTATCAAATCCAGATCCCCCTGCCGCCCAAGATCGACCCGAGTGTGACGATGATGACGGTGGAGGAGAAGCCGGATGTGACCTACGGGGACGTGGGCGGGTGCAAGGAGCAGATTGAGAAGATGCGAGAGGTGCGTGAGAGAGATATAGTGTGTAAGTGTGAGTTGAACATGAAAGGAAGAGTACATGGGGGAGGATGTGACGATGATGACAGTGGAGGAGAAGCCGGATGTGACATATGGGGATGTGGGTGGATGCAAGGAGCAGATCGAGAAGATGCGAGGTGCGTGGGTGCGGGAGAGGGTATGACTCTCTTTGAGTTGGTATTGAGGTAGAGTGTGACGATGATGACAGTGGAGGAGAAACTGGATGTGGCCTACGGGGACGTGGGCGGATGCAAGGAGCAGATTGTGAAGATGCGAGAGGTGGGTGGGAGAGAGGGAGGGGGTGGAACTCCCCATGCTGCATCCTCATAAGTTTGTGAAGCTGTGCATTCCTCCCAAGGGCGTGCTGTGCTGCGGCCCGGTCTCTCTTACAGCCACTCACGCACACTCATTACTCTTACACTCACCTACACTCTCAGGTGGTGGAACTGCCCATGCTTCACCCTGAGAAGTTTGTGAAGCTGGGCATCGACCCTCCCAAGGGCGTGCTCTGCTACGTCTCAATCCCAATCTCCCTTATTCCCGTCCTTTCCCCTTTTCCCTACAATCTTCCAGGTGGTGGAGCTCACCATGCTTCATCCTGAGAAGTTTGTGAAGCTGGGAATCGACCCTCCCAAGGGCGTGCTGTGCTACGGTGCGCCCTCCCTGACACAGTCTCACTCACTCATACATCACATCACATACACTCTCTCACTCTCAGGTGGTGGAGCTCCCTATGCTGCATCCTGAGAAGTTTGTAAAGCTAGGAATCGACCCTCCCAAGGGCGTGCTGTGCTACGTCTCAATCCCAATCTCCCTTATTTCCGTCCTTTCCCCTTTTCCCTACAATCTTCCAGGTGGTGGAGCTCCCCGTGCTTCATCCTGAGAATTTCGTAAAGCTAGGAATTGACCCCCCAAAGGGCGTGCTGTGCTACGGTGCGCCCTCCCTGACACAGTCTCACTCACTCATACATCACATCACATACACTCTCACACTCTCAGGTGGTGGAGCTCCCTATGCTGCATCCTGAGAAGTTTGTAAAGCTAGGAATCGACCCTCCCAAGGGCGTGCTGTGCTACGTCTCAATCCCAATCTCCCTTATTTCCGTCCTTTCCCCTTTTCCCTACAATCTTCCAGGTGGTGGAGCTCCCCGTGCTTCATCCTGAGAATTTCGTAAAGCTAGGAATTGACCCCCCCAAGGGCGTGCTGTGCTACGGTGCGCCCTCCCTGACACAGTCTCACTCACTCATACATCACATCACATACACTCTCACACTCTCAGGTGGTGGAGCTGCCTATGCTTCACCCGGAGAAGTTTGTGAAGCTGGGAATCGACCCCCCCAAGGGCGTGCTGTGCTACGGTCCGCCCGGCACCGGCAAGACGCTGCTGGCCCGTGCTGTGGCCAACCGCACGGATGCCTGCTTCATCCGCGTTATAGGCAGCGAGCTGGTGCAGAAATACGTGGGCGAGGGGGCCAGGATGGTTCGAGAGCTGTTCCAGGTGAGAGCTGTTCCAGGTGAGAGCTGTTCCATTTGAGAGCTGTTCCAGGTGAGAGCTGTTCCAGGTGAGAGCTGTTCCAGGTGAGAGCTGTTCCATTTGAGAGCTGTTCCAGGTGAGAGCTGTTCCAGGTGAGAGCTGTTCCATTTGAGAGCTGTTCCATTTGAGAGCTGTTCCATTTGAGAGCTGTTCCAGGTGAGAGCTGTTCCAGGTGAGAGCTGTTCCATTTGAGAGCTGTTCCAGGTGAGAGCTGTTCCAGGTGAGTGCTGTTCCAGGTGAGAGCTGTTCCAGGTGAGTGCTGTTCCAGGTGAGTGCTGTTCCAGGTGAGTGCTGTTCCAGGTGAGTGCTGTTCCAGGTGAGAGCTGTTCCAGGTGAGTGCTGTTCCAGGTGAGAGCTGTTCCAGGTGAGAGCTGTTCCAGGTGAGTGCTGTTCCAGGTGAGTGCTGCTCCAGGTGAGTGCTGTTCCAGGTGAGTGCTGTTCCAGGTGAGAGCTGGTGCGGGTGAGAGCTGGTGCGGGTGAGAACACCACTTTGGTGACATGCCATAAGGTTGATATGTGGCTGCTGATTGGATTGAAGTGCCGTTCTGTGCGGTGCTGTATGGCACATTGCGGTGCTGTGCAGTGGTCCTTTCGTTGCTTCCCCTGATTTCCTCGTGTCTCTTCCTTTCCACCATCCCTGTACCTCCTTCCCTCACTGATGGCTCGCTCCAAGAAGGCGTGCATAATCTTCTTCAATGAAGTAGGCGCTATTGGAGGCTCGGTTCGACGATGGGGCGGGTGGAGACAACGAGGTGCAGATTCTAACTCCCTCCTTGCCGTCATCCCATCCTGTCACCTTTGCCTGGCCTCCCAGATGGCACGCTCCAAGAAGGCGTGCATCATCTTCTTCGATGAAGTGGACGCCATCGGAAGGCAGAACCCCCCCCCTTTACCTGTCTATATCCTCCATGCCACCTCATCCCGTCTCCCCTTGTCTCCCCTCTTTTCCCTTTAGATGGCTCGTTCCAAGAAGGCGTGCATCATCTTCTTTGACGAGGTGGAGCACAATTCACTGCCCTGAACCCCCATCCCTACCTGCCTGCCCTATACCCTCCCTGTATCCTGTATCCTCTCTGTCCGTCCCTTCCATCCAGATGGCACGTTCCAAGAAGGCGTGCATCATCTTCTTTGACGAAGTGGACGCCATCGGAGGGGCGCGCTCCCTTACCCATCTTCCTTCCCCGTCACCTGTTTATATCTTCCCTGTACCTCCTTCCCTCACAGATGGCTCGCTCCAAGCAGGCGTGCATTATCTTCTTTGATAAAGTGGACGCCATCGGAGGGGCGCGGTTTGACGACGGGCCGGGCGGCGACAACAGGGTGCAGATTCTAACTCCCTCCTTGCCGTCATCCCATCCTGTCACCTTTGTCTGCACTCCCAGATGGCACGCTCCAAGAAGGCATGCATCATCTTCTTTGATGAAGTGGACGCCATCGGAGGGGCGCGGTTTGACGACGGGGCGGGCGGCGACAACGAGGTGCAGCGCACGATGCTGGAGATTGTGAATCAGCTGGATGGGTTCGATGCTCGCGGGAACATCAAAGTGCTCATGGCTACCAACAGGTGTGTAGAGGTGTGCTCAGGTGTGAACAGGTGTGCTGCCACCAGCAGGATTGGTGACTTGCATTGCTCCGCTGTCGACGAGGGGCCAGGTGGGGTCAAGGAGGCGACAACGAGGTGCAGCGCACGATGCTGGAGATCGTGAATCAGCTGGATGGATTCGACGCACGCGGGAACATCAAAGTGCTCATGGCTACCAACAGGTGTGGTGTGTGTGCTGCTCACGGGGGGTGGTCTGCCTTCCTCCTCCTCGTAATGAGACAGCAAGGTGACAACGAGGTGACAATGAGAGGTGCAGCGCACGATGCTGGAGATTGTGAATCAGCTGGATGGATTCGATGCTCGCGGGAACATCAAGGTGCTCGTGGCTACCAACAGGTATGCTGCCAGAGTGCGCTTGTGAGGCGCCAGTAGCAAGGATGGTGGTATTTGTTTTTCCACTCTCACAATGAGGGAGTGGTAAGGTCAACGAGCGAGGTGATAACGAGGCGACAATGAGGCGACAACGAGGCGGCAACGAGGCGACAACGAGGCGATAACGAGGCGACAACGAGGCAATAACGAGGCAGCAACGAGGCGACAAAGAGGCGACTATGAGGTGCAGTGCACCTAGGTGGAGTTAGCGAGCCATCCGTCCAACTTCTGAGGCGCCTCAAAAGTTAGCGAACCATCCGTCCAACTTCTGAGGCGCCTCAAAAGTTAGTGAACCATCCATCCAACTTCCCTTCCCTATGTTTCTGCCACTGCCCCTCGTTCCTCTACCCTCCCCAAAAGCAAGGCGGAGTTTGTGCTGCCTGACTTTGGAGGGGCGCAACCACATCTTATTAACGCGCCCACACTTCGAACCCTCTCCGCTCGTCTCTCTCTTCTCCCCAATCCCTCTCCGCTCGTCTCTCTCTTCTCCCCAATCCCTCTCCGCTCGTCGCTCTCTTCTCCCCAATCCCTCTCCGCTCGTCCCTCTCTTCTCCCCAATCCCTCTCCGCTCGTCTCTCTCTTCTCCCCAATCCCTCTCCTCAAGCCTTCCCCAGGCCTGTCTCTCTTCGTCCTGCACTCCTGCATTCCGGGCGTCTGGAGCGCAAGGTGGAGTTCAAATTGCCGGTTGCGGAGGGGGGCGCCCTCACTTGAACTCTCTCCCATCGTCTCCCTCGCTGTTACCCACATTCTCTCCCCTCTCTTAGGCCAAATACCCTTGATCCCGCTCTCCTCTGCCGGGGTCGTCTCGACCGCAAGGGGGAGTTTGGGCTGCCTGATCTGGAGGGTCACACTCACCCCTTTTCTCCCCTCTGCATGCCTTGTCGTCCAACCCTCACCGTTCTCCCTGTAATGCACACTCTTTCCCCTCCCACCCCCTCCTTCCTGGCCCGGCACCCTTGACCCTGCTCTGGTGCGCCCGGGTCGTCTCAGGAGTGCACACATTCTCACCTATAACCCTCCCGCCCCAATCCCCCTATCACTCCCCACCCGCAGGCCCGACACCCTTGATCCTGCTCTCTTGCGCCCGGGTCGTCTCGATCGCAAAGTGGAATTAGGGCTGCCGGACCTGGAGGGGCGAACGCACATTTTTAAGATCCACACGCTCACCTCTCACCCGCTCTTCTCATCTCTCTTTTTTTAACCCCTCTTACTCCCCACCCTCAGGCCCGACACCCTTGATCCCGCTCTCTTGCGCCCGGGTCGTCTCGATCGCAAAGTGGAATTCGGGCTGCCTGACCTGGAGGGGCGAACGCACATCTTCAAGATCCACACCCGCACCATGAACTGTGAACGTGATATTCGATTCGAGCTACTGGCCCGGCTGTGCCCCAACTCCACCGGTACGTTCTTGTTGTATCTCTCATGTCCCTCATGTCCCGCATGTCCCACGCATGCACTATTAATGAACTGCGCGCAGGATATCCAGTTTGAGATACTTGCCCGGCTGTGCCCCAACTCCGCTGTTGGGTTCCTCTCGTGTCTCTCATGTCTCTCGTCTTGGGACCTCGCACACTTTCCAATGCACTGCACGCACATTTTCATGCTCCACGCGCACGATGAACTGTGAACGGGACATTTGGTTCGAGGTGCTTGCCCTTTTCTGGCCCCAACTCCACTGCTGGTTGCTTCTCACGCCCCTCACGTCTCGCATTTTCAAGATGCACATGCGCACCACGAATGAACAGTGAGCGGGACATTCGGTTCAAGGTGGCAGCCACGGTGTGTGCTTGGAAGCAGGCATGTATGCCCATCAGGGCTCGACATTTAGTGGTGCATAATCATGTGTCCACCCATGTGTCTGTGTACATGTGTGTGCATGTATATGCTCCCCCCAACCAACCCCCCCAACCCCACCCCCCCGCCTCCTTTCCCCCATGCCAAGAGCTAACATCCGTTGTATGTGCATGGACGCCGGCAAGTATGCCATCAGGGTGCGGCGCGAGTCAACAGCTACTGGCATTTATGTGTCGTGCATGTTTGCCTTTCCTCTCGCTATCGCTCCTCTTCCCCCATGCTTCAGGAGCCGATATCCGCAGTGTGTGCACGGAGGCAGGCATGTATGCCATCAGGGCGCGGCGCAAGACATCACATGCTTGCTCACCTTCTCCTTGCTCACCAATTTGCCCTCCTCCCCCCACCCCCTCACCCCTCCCCAGGAGCCGACATCCGCAGTGTGTGCATGAAGGCGGGCATGTATGCCATGAGGGCACGATGCACACGGGTACATGATCACGTGTCCAACATCTGTGTATCTATGTATGTGCTCAACCCCCCTCAGGAGCTGACATCCGCAGTGTGTGCATGAAGGCGGGCATGTATGCCATGAGGGCACGATGCACACGGGTACATGATCACGTGTCCATCATCTGTGTATCTGTGTATGTGCTCAACCCCCCTCAGGAGCTGACATCCGCAGTGTGTGCATGAAGGCGGGCATGTATGCCATGAGGGCACGATGCACACGGGTACATGATCACGTGTCTATCATCTGTGTATCTGTGTATGTGCTCAACCCCCCTCAGGTGCTAACATCCGCAGTGTGTGCACGGAGGCGGGCATGTATGCCATCAGGGCGCGGCGCAAGACAGTGACTGAGAAAGACTCTTCATGTGTGCTTGTCCTTGTACTGTCTCCCTTACTTTCCCTTTCCTTCATGCAGGAGCCGACATCCGCAGTGTGTGCACGGAGGCGGGCATGTATGCCATCAGGGCGCGGCGCAAGACAGTGACTGAGAAGGATTTCCTGGAGGCGGTCAACAAGGTCATCAAGGGGTACCAGAAGTTCAGTGCTACACCCAAATACATGGTGTACAATTGAGTGTATATGTGCTGTGGACACACGGACCGACTGTAAATGCTGGTAGTACTTGGTGATTTGGTATGGAGGAGTGCTGCTGGGTGTAAGTTGATATGAGACCCTATTGATGTTTCTTTCTTATAATGAAACTTGCATAACAAAATCTTCAAAAATCAACCTTACTGGAACACACATGTAAAGATGCACTGATATACCGGTATGCTAAAACCACCCCAGGTGACTCATCCTACAGTAGTAATTTTCATCTTTGACATACGGTATCTCCTTCAACCCTCCATCTCATCCGCTCCATGCATCACCAACCTTAGCTCTCACTCTTCCCCTCATCACCAGCTTCGGCAGTCTGCATTACTGCTGCCAACCTGCATCTCACATCATAATTTCCGTCCTTTACTTCACCATGGGTAATCTACAGCATCACCTCACATCATAACTTCCAGCCTTACCATCTCCACCAGTCTCCCTTCTTCAGTCCTCCATATCATCCACATCATCATCCTCATCATCAACCTTAGCCCTCTTCCCCCCACCATCCCCATCCACAGGCTTCACCAAAAACTCCCCAAGCCTCCCCTTGGCCTTCTCAGCCGCAATCCCCCCAGTCTTTTCCACCCGATACACCAACCCGCTTATCGCCACCTCATCCGCAATCCCATTCTCCCCCACACCATCACCAGCACCGCCCTGAGCGTCGATAAACACAGTGCAGTTATCGTCTATCTTCCCTTCCACCAGCATCTTAGACAGCTGAGTTACCACCTTCCGCTCCAGCCATCTCCTCAGCGGCCGCGCCCCATACACCGGATCATAAGCCTCCTTCAAGACAACATCCAGGGCGCCATCTGAAACCCCGAGGGCAATCCCCCGGTCCGCCAGCCTGGCCGCCACCTGGCGCATCTGCAGCCGCGCGATCTTCCTCAGCTCCGGGAGCGACAGCGGCTCGAACACCACCATTTCGTCGAGCCTGTTCAGCAGCTCCGGGCGGAAGTGCTTCCGAACCTCCGCCAGAACCTCCCTCTTAGCCTCGTCCATCCCAACCTCTCCGGATAGCCCCGCCAACAAATGCTGCGCTCCCAAATTCGAAGTCATGATGATCACCGTGTTGCTGAAATCAACGGTGCGGCCTCTTCCGTCAGTCAGCCGCCCATCGTCCAGAACTTGCAGAAGCGTGTTCCAAACCGACGTATGCGCTTTCTCCACCTCATCAAACAAAACGACAGAATACGGACGCCTCCGCACCGCTTCCGTAAGCTGACCCCCCTCCTCGTGCCCCACGTAGCCCGGGGGAGCACCGATCAGCCTCGCGACGCTGTGTTGCTCCATGTATTCGCTCATGTCGATGCGAACCAGCTGGTTTTCGTCGTCGAATAGCTGCTCGGCGAGAGCTTTCGCCAGCTCGGTTTTTCCCACGCCGGTTGGGCCGAGGAACAGGAACGAACCGGTGGGCTGCCCGGGCCTGCTGAGCCCGGCTCGGGACCGAAGCACAGCCTCGGCGACGGCTTGGACCGCCTCGTCCTGCCCCACCACGCGCTCGTGTAACCGCTGCGCCAGGTGTAACAGCCGTTCGCGATCGTTCTGCCCAAGTCTGGTAACCGGGATACCAGTCCAGCGGCTCACAACCTCCGCGATTTGATCCGGACCGACGGTTTCCGTTAGCATCGGTTTCCCCGGGCCTGCCGCGTCGGCTCCCAGCGCGGCCGCGGCGGCCTCCGCCTCCTTCTCGTAGCGCGCGATGGCGGCATCGAGCTCGGTGAGCGCTCCGTACTTCAGATCCGCGACGCGTGCGAGGTCCATGCGCGCCTCGGCCTCCTGCACCGCGACGAGCACCTCCTCGCGCTTCCGCTGCAGCCGCCGCAGCTCGTCGACGCGCTCCTTCTCCCGCCGGTACCGCATCTGCAGCGGCTGCAGCTTGTCGCGCAGCTCGCCAAGCTGCGCGCGCACCTCCCCCGCGCGCACCGCGCTCGCCTTGTCCTTTTCCTTCTCCAGCGCGTGTAGCTCCACTTCCAGCTGGATGCGCTTCCGCTCAAGCGCATCGATCTCCTCCGGCTGGCTGTCTAGGGTAACCCGAACGTTCGCGCACGCTTCGTCGACGAGGTCGATCGCCTTGTCGGGAAGGCGCCTTCCCGTGATGTACCTTCCGCTGAGCTGCGCCGCGACGACGAGCGCGCGGTCCTGGATGCGCACGCCGTGGTGCCCCTCGTAGCGCTCGCGCAGCCCGCGGAGAATGCTGATCGTATCCGCTACAGACGGCTCCGCTACAAGCACTTGCTGGAATCGCCTCTCGAACGCCGCGTCCTTTTCGATGTACTTTCGGTACTCCTCGAGCGTCGTCGCGCCGATGCAGCGCAGCTGCCCGCGCGCGAGCATGGGCTTGAAGAGATTCGCTGCGTCCATGGCGCCCTCCGTGCGGCCCGCGCCGAGGATCAAATGCATCTCGTCGATGAAAAGAATGATCCGGCCTTCGCCTTCCTCCACCTCTTTAAGGACGGCTTTAACGCGCTCCTCGAACTCTCCGCGGTATTTCGCCCCCGCGACCAGCGCGCCCATGTCGAGCGCGACGAGCCGCACGTTCTGCAGGTTGCTTGGCACATCGCCGCGCGCGATGCGCTGCGCGAGTCCCTCCGCGACGGCGGTTTTGCCGACGCCGGGTTCGCCGATCAGCACGGGGTTGTTCTTCGTCCTTCGCGAAAGAATTCGCACGACTCGCCGGATTTCGTCGTCGCGGCCGATCACGGGGTCGAGTTTCGCCGCAACCTCGACCAAGTCCCGCCCGAATCTCTTCAGCGCTTGGAAAGTTCCCTCCGCCGTAGCGCTCTCCACCTTCCGCTCCCCGCGCGCCTGCGCCAGCGCCGCTTGCACCTTCCCCGCATTCACTCCCGCGTCCTTCATTGCCTCAGAGATTTGCGAATCTTCCATCAACGCGAGCACGAGAGAATCGACGGCCAGATGCGAGTCTCCCGCCTTCTTTTGAATCTGCTGCGCCTTTCGCAGCGCCTTCACGAGCGAGGGGTTCGCGTGGATTTCATCTGGCGGAGGTTGCTGCGAGGGGATTTTCTGCAGAAGGCGTTTGATGGCCCGTTGGAAGGCTTGAATCGTGTCGCCATCGCCCCTCGGGGAATGGCCGGGCGCGGTCGCGTTGTAGTTGATGACGCTGGAATGCGCGACGGCGTGGCGGAAAACGCCGTCTTCGTCCTGCAGAAGCGCGAGCGCCACGTGCGCTGGCGTGATTTCCGCGTGGCCGTTGGACTCGGCGAGCTCGCGCGCCGCGACGAGGATTTCGTTGGTCTTGTGGGTGAAGGAGTTCGGATCCATGGCGATTTAGGTAACTCAGGAATGATGACTTTGAGCAGTCGTATAATGAAACAAGATGGCAGAATGAGGATCAAGAAGAAAAGTCGTCAAGAGTAGTAGGCCGTTTGCTGAGAAGCTTGTGAAAGCAGCTTTTGATACTTCAGTTTCTGCCAAAAGAGCTATTTATACCTAAGCTCATCAACAGGGAAGAGCTGCTTTGCCAAAGTCGACGGGAATGTTCTGGAATTTGGCGGATGGGGCTAGAAGGGGCTGGAAGGGGTGAGATCGTACGGGCGAATTCGGGAAGTAAAACGCATATTCGCGAGACTTCGCAATTTATTTTTTAAAGTTCTAAACGCAACCTGGGAAATCTGGTCGCAACCCTGCTACTGCGGTTCTCGAACAAGACGAATGCAAGAGCAAGGTGTGGTGGGCGATTCGGTGAGACTTTGCACTCTTTCGCTTAACGAGGTTATGTTACCTGGGTCTTTGGCTTGCGCTGGTGTGCGGTGAGAGGGTGCGCGACTGTCCTTCCCCGATGGAAGGAAGCGCCAAATTTTGACCCCCACCCCATCCTCCCTGATCCCCTTTCCCCCCCTTGCTTCATTGGACGGGCGAAAGTTCTCTGATCTGGCAGTTACCTCCAAGGTGAAACTTCTCCAACGTGGACATTCTACCTGCCAGACTGGAACTAATGTTGCACGTGGCTGGGTTATAACATTGAGGCCAAATCAAACTCTCCGATTGAAAGTTGACACGTGGATAATTATACACCAGCGAATATCAAGGACTTTGTTGAAGTGTGACAAGGCTTACGATAGTAAAATCAAGAGAAAGAGAACTTAGCCAAGAATAAAGATACTCGTAAGAAGCTATTTGCAAATACTCATAACGAAGTCGCCTCACCAATGTCGTTGTCGCGAACAGAAGCCACCGCCATGCCTGCTTCCCTTGCGGAAAACTCTCGTCGTACTGTACCATCCAATAGCAGGCAAGCGCTCACACCCTCGACTTGGAGCGCCTGGACGAGCCGCAAATTTCTCCAGGTGTCGCGACCCTTCGTGACACTCCTCATGTGCCGTTCGATTGGTCCGACATGCCGCACATGCAGCACGTCTACGACACGTGTACGTGTAGAGAATTCTTCCTGTCACTGCAGTTTCGCGAAATTCGCCCTTGCCTTACCTCCCTCCTCTCCCACACCCAAACCCCCTCTTGCCGTAGTCTGTGCGGCTGTCGCCTCGCCATCCTTCGCTAGCAAATTCGCCCCTCTCCTCCCCAGCCCCCTTTCCGAACGACCCCATTCACTATCTCGAAACCCGTAGCTTGTTCTCCCCTCCATGTCGCAATGCTGTAACACCAACATCCACCATCCCTGCTTCCTCGACCTTATCCTTTCCAAGCTGGAGTCGCGCACTCTCTCCGTCCCGCACAAGGGACAATAACCTTGGCCGGTTTGCTGCTGGCGACTACACGCCTTGCGGATCCACCAAGGATCTGTGAAGCCCCTCCCAGAAGTCAGGACCGACAGTCGGAGCGTGCTTTCTAAGTGGACCGTCACGCTGCGAGTAGAATCACTTCTAGTACGAGGTGGGATTATTAGCCTTTTAGACAACGATTATATGCTATTTGACCCGACCAACCCATTTCTCTCCCCGGAATAGACCGTTCTGGTATCTGTTTCCAAATTTCGTGTACTTCTGGAAGAACAGAAACGTTCCTTCCCGTCGGACTGGTGACAGATAGGTAGTGCATTTAGACGTCGATCAGCACTGAGCAGAGTTGAGTCAGTCGACGTACGATGATGATGATGTCGAATCCCACGTTGAGCTTGGGTCAGCCCGATCTGGATCTGGGCGTTCGCCGCGCTTTGCTGGCTTCTCGTAGTAAGCTCCCAGGGCCAGCTGAAATTATCAATATAGGTCCGTCACGGAGTCTAACCGTTAGCGAACGCGGCAGTTGCACGGAGTCTCCTTTGCGCCGTTTTATTCCTCTCTTTATCTTTCTTGTCACGAAATACCATTTCGTAACAGAGTCCCCCGCGTTTGTGCTATGGGCGTGAAAGGTCCTCCTTTCAATCGAGGAACAGGTTCATCGGCGATTTTTTGTGTATATATTACTAATTGACAGAAAATACATGGATTTGGTATTTCATTGTGTGACAGGTTCGTTGGCGCTGGGAAACGTGAGCTTGGATCGCATGCCGCAACCCGCCGCTGTCAACACCCTTCGCTCACTTGGGAGCGGTTCCATACACTCCGGCGCGGCGCCTGCCATTCCGACAACCAATCCGGAGGCCGCATTCGGCCGTCGCACTCTCCACGTCCCAGCGTCGGTCCTGTTCGCGCCGCCGTCCTCAGCGTCGGCCACGGCCTACGGCGGCAGGGGACTGACGGGGTTGCCAAACGAGTTCAGAAGCCAGGTACCTCTCAATCTCAAAGCAAACTCTCTTTCGCCACGGACGGCGGGCGTCCCGAACAAGGACGGCAGTTTTCTGCGTCGGCGCTGGTAGCGCGGATACTAGTAGGAGTGCGGTCGTGGTCCTGTTCTGGCGCGCAGAACCCGCGATGCGCTAAATCTGGCGCGCCAAACCCGCGATGCGCTAAATCTGGCGCGCGAGCTGATTCCAATTTAAATGCACTGTGATGTAGTCAGAACCTCACCCGCTGCTCCATTGGGATTGTTTGTGCATGTTGTCGTGTATCTCAGGGCACAAGAGGAGGTTCTATTTTTCCGCGTGGATTCACTGGAAAAACAAGAAGGGGAGCTCTGGTGACCGCTGCGGCTTTTGGTTCGAACGACGCGAAAGGTGATGACGGTTGTGCCATTAAAATTCTCTAAATCAGCCTTCACGTCAACCGACGAAGTATATCTGAAGTGTTTCAAAACGCTTTGCTCTCTGTTCGCGAATCCTGAGATCGTCTCACCTTCTTGTCTGCGACGCCGTTCTTCGCGCAGGCCAACGATCGCCGTCGCCGCGTCGCAAGCTGTCGTCGTCGTCAAATCCCGCCGGGGGAGAGGGGGGCGGCACGGATCGCGAAGGTCATCGCGCGGATCGCACCTCGTCCGGTGCTGCTGCGGCAGGGAGCAGCAAGGGGACTAGGAGCCGCGAGGCTAGAAGCAGCAAGCCTCGCGCGGGTTTGGTTTCCGAGACTGCCGAGGAAGGTCGTGAGAGACGCGAGGAGCGCGACGAGGAGCGAGGCGAAGAGGCGACGGAGACGATGGAACCGGGTGCGACGGAGAGCGATCTTGGGCGACCGTTGCTGTCGCAAGGTGATGGCGCGTGGCTCTGATTTTTGCTTCGTTTCGAGAAGTTTTTAGATAAATCATTCGATTGGATATGTGATCTGGTTCGACTCGAATTCGGTGCGCGACAGGCATGCCATTCTCACATCCCTTGCTAATAATTATTGGCAGGGTTACCAAGCAGGAAGGAGCACCGAGGAGGACGACGGAAGGCTGTGGGAGGGGCAGCGCCGCGAAAGGCGCTGGCGTGGCGAGGGGTGTTGCTGCATGTGCTCACTTCGTCAATAATTGCGTTCCTGTTCGGTTACCACATGTCGTAAGTAACACTTTCTCTTCAGAAAATGAGGTTCTTTCCTACGCTTCTACACAAAGCATGCAGATTCACAATATTCCATTATAATCCCCTTCGTGTGGGGTATTGCCTGTTATCTACCCTCCATGTACAATGAGCAGAGTGGTGAATGGACCATTGGAATCCATGGCTGTCGAGCTGCTCTTCGCTGAGAATGCTCTCGCCAAAGGTAATGTTTTTACAAAATATAATAGCTTCCACACTCTTATGGTGCTTGCACTATATTCCAATTTGTTTATGTGTAACCAGCATTTGAGTTTCTTTCCTCAGCAGCTTCAGTTGTGACTGTGTTGCGACCAGGAGGGCGTGCGAGGTGCGACTTATTTAGCACGTACCGGTACAATAAATGGGTGTCTTTCTCCTGCATTCCTTGCCATGCCTTGTGCAGCTTCGGTTGTGAGCGTGTTTCTACTCGGAGCGTTCCTGGGTTGTTCAACCAGCAGCACGGTGGCTGACAGTGCGGGCAGGAAAAAGGGGTTCCAGCTTTGCAGCGTTCCCATCCTGATTGGATCCATTCTCTGGTGGGTGTGTTTCTTAGATACCATATTTAAATTATTGTTGGGTTTTACGACTTATATGCGTTTTTTTACCCGGTATTTTCTGATGAGACATTTTGACTCTTCTTTTATTTGATTCAATGTTGTGTCTGTGTAACCCAACCCAACAGTGCCATGGCATCATCTCTCTCGCTCGTCGTCACCGGCCGCTTCCTGCTGGGCTTTGGGCTAGGCATGGCCATCCCCATCATGGCTCTCTACATTCCCGAGGTGTGTGTGTAGCGCGCACGCATAACATGTATGTCTGTGAAGTTTGGTTCCTGCTGGGCTTTGGACTAGGCATGGCCATCCCCATCATGGCTCTTTGTTAGTTCATGTTTAGGTGTAGATATGATATCTCTTGTGCATTTTCAACAAAGAGGCACGTTGCATAGCCATTCCTCAGATCCAGCAGAGGAGTACATTGGGCGCCATCCCCCAAGTCCTCACGTGCACCAGCATTCTCGCTGCCCTGCTTGCACCCATACTTGTTGTATTAGGCGCCCAACATTTTCAAATTTTCTCTCCCGCTTTTTCTTAATCTCTTCATTCAGATCTCTCCACCGCACTTTCGGCGTCATCCCCCAAGTCCTCACGTGCACGGGTTCCTGGCAATGCTCGCTCGCAGTCACACTTCTCCCCTGAGGGTGTTTTTGAGAATGATAAAAAACACCTTTGGGAATTCTCAAAAACACCCTCCAAGTCCTCACGTGCACGGCATCCCGGCAATGCTCGCACTCACACTTCTCCCCTGAGGCGCCTAAAACCCAGTCTCTCTCCGTTCCTCTCCCGCTTTTTCCCCTGTCTTCTCTTCTCTCTGCAGATCTCCCCACCGCAGCAGAGGGGCACGTTTGGTGCCATCCCCCAAGTCCTCACGTGCACCGGAATCCTTGCCGCCCTGCTTGCTGCCGCTCTCCTGCCCGCCTCATCGTGAGACACCTATTTTTCCACCCATATGTTGCTTTTGAGTCGACTCAAAAGTCACTTTGCTTTTGAGTCGACTCAAAAGTCACTTTGCTTTTGAGTCGACTCAAAAGTCACCTCGCTCTCCTGCCCGCCTCATCGTGAGACACCTATTTTCTCACCCATATGTTGCTTGCCACTTCTTGCACCCCGCTTGCTGCTCTAATTGCCCGCCGCGTCTGCTCTCTTCTCTTGCACCTCATGGCGCATGTGTTTCTGAGTTGACCATATCATCAGTTGGACGTCGTTTGTGTCACCTCCTCTCCTCGCTTCACCTCCTCTCCTCGCGTCACCTCCTCTCCTCGCTTCACCTCCTCTCCTCGCTTCACCTCCTCTCCTCGCTTCTCCCCTTGCCCAGGTGGCGCATGTGCTTTTGGATTGCTGCAGTGCCCGCAGCGCTGTTCTGCATGGCGTGTGAATTCCTGGTGGACAGCCCCCGGTGGCTGGCGCAGGTGAGAAGATGGGGCAGGGAAGGGGGGAATAAGGGAGTGAATTGCCTGTGCTGTTTCCCAAGCCAGCAGCAGCAGCAGCGCTGTTCTGCATGGCGTGTGAATTCCTGGTGGACAGCCCCAGGTGGCTGGCGCAGGTGAGAAGATGGGGCAGGGAGGTGTGGCGGTATGGCATTAGGTGTCGCATCACTGTCAGTGCCAGGTTGCCAGCAGCGCTGTTCTGCATGGCGTGTGCATTCCTGGTGGACAGTCTCAGGTGGCTGGCGCAGGTGAGGAGGGGTCAGATGGGAGTTGACAGGTGGTATGGTGGCAGGTGCAGCATTGACAGCAGGCAAGTGCCAGTGTTAGCAATCCCAGGTGAACAATCCCAGGTGAACAATCCCAGGTGAACAATCCCAGGTGAACTCCCACACTCTCTCCCACTCCGCTGCCCTGCCACTCCCCCCAGCATGGCAAGTGGTCAGAAGCAGCAGCAGCAGTAACCCAGCTATTAGGAGAGGCGAAGGTGAAAGAGACCACGGACGATCTGCTGCATCACTCCACTGCCCTGCTCTTACTCCCTGCCCCTTCTCCCCTTGCAGCATGGCAAGTGGTCAGCAGCAGCAGAAGCAGTAACCCAGCTATTAGGAGAAGCGAAGGTGAAAGAGACCACGGACGATCTGCTGCATCACTCCTTTGGCCCAGGCAGTCACCCCCTCTCCATCTCCCCCCACCTATCAACCTCAGCACGGCAAGTCGGGGGAGGCAGCAGCAGCGGTGGCGCAGTTGTTGGGAGAAGCAAAGGTGAAACCCACCCTGGACGATCTGCATCACTCCTTAGGCCCAGGCAGTCACCCCCTCTCATCTCTCTCTATCCCTCCCTACCCCACTACCCCACCTTCCCTACCCCTCTGCCCCCACCTTCAGCATGGCAAGTGGTCAGAAGCAGCAGCAGCAGTAACCCAGCTGCTGGGAGAGGCGAAGCTGGGAGAAACCATGGACGATCTGCATCATTCCTTTGGGGGAAGAGGCAGCAGGGGGCACGGTGTGGGGTGGGAGGGCGGGGCTAAGGGGGAAAAGAAGGAGGGGAAAGGAGAGCAGCAGCATCCGGGGTATGTAGTGCTGGAGAAGGGGAAGGGGGTGGCTGTGGCGGGGAAAGGGGACGAGGAAGGTCTGGTGAAGGAGTGGGGAGCGGTTGAGAAGGTGACTTGGCGAAGCCTCTTCTCCAAGCGATACGTGCGGGGTAAGTAGTGTATTGGTGTTTTGACACGAATAGGGATTGGTGATGGGTGATTGTTGCGTGATGCTGCCCTTCTAATGTGAGCCATGAAGGGCTATTCTCCAACCAATATGTGCGTGGTGAGTAGGGGAGTCGTGTGTCGCCTCCTTTCATGCCTCTCTCCTCCTCTCTACCGTGTCTCACCCCCCTTGTAACCCTGTGTCATCCCTCTTTTTCTCCCGTGGTCACCATAGGAGCTGCCCTCTCCGCCCTGCAGCTACTCAGCGCCAACAACGCTGTACTCGTTTTCTCCTCTCACGCCTCCCTCCCTCTTACGTTCTTTGTCTTCTTTCCTTGTCACCCATCCCCATTCCCCAGTGGTCAACTTGGAGCAACACTTTTCACCCTAAAGCAACTCAGCGGAATCAACGCCGTATTCTTCTTCTCCTCGCACCTTTTCCTCCCTGCTGACACCTTGTCTTCTTCTTCTCCTGCTCCTTTTCCTGCAGTCGTCACCATCGGAGCAACACTATTTGCTCTACAGCAACTCAGCGGCATCAATGCCGTATTCTTCTTTTCCTCGCACCTCTTCAAGTCGGCCGGCATTCAGTCCGGCGCCATGGCAAGCGTTGCCATGGGCACTCTGAACCTAGTTGGTGAGCTCTCATACCTCCAATCCCACCTCATCTCTCCCTACTTCCTCCTCGCACCTCTTCAAGTCGGCCGGCATTCAGTCCGGCGCCCTGGCTAGCGTTGCCATGGGCACACTGAACTTAGTTGGTGAGTGATTGTTGACTCTCCGCATGTATGTAGCTGAAAGAACAACAGGGTGGTCCGCCCTTGGTTCCCATGCCCGTTGAGCTTCTTCTTCTCGCGCCTCGTCAAGACAGCCGGCATCCAATCGGGTGCAATAGTTAGCCTTTCCTCATCCACATTTTCTTCTTCTCTTGCCCCGTTCCCCCCCCCCCCCCCTGTGCTTCAGCTTCTCTGGTGTGCTCTGCTCTCATCGATTGTGTTGGCTTTTGAGTCGACTCAAAGGTCTTCTCTTGCCCCGTTCCCGCCTTCCCCCTGTTTTGAGACGTCTCAAAGAACTTCTCTTGCCCCGGTTCCCCCCTCCCCCTGTGATTCAGCATCTCTGGTGTGTTCTGCTCTCATCGACCGTGTTGGGAGGAAGGCGCTCATCACAGGGAGCTTCATTGGCATGGTGAGTGTGTATCACCCTCTCCTCCGACCGACTGCTATCAAAAAGCAAGTGCTACGGCAATTACATAAGGGTAGAAGCCATAAGGCCACATTATCCGTTGCATCATAATGCCCTCTTCTTTTCACCCTCCCCCCCTGCATTCATCTATTTTCTCCACTCTCCTCTTCCCCATCAGGGTCTGGTCCAAGCAGCAGCGCAGGTGCTACCGTGGATGGCGCCCATGGCTCCGCTCATCACTCAATGCCCCCGTTTTATCTCCCTCTCTCCCTTGGTCTGCCTTTTCTTGTCTCTCAACTCATCACCAGGGTCTGTGCATGGCGGTCCAAGCAGCAGCGCAGGTGTTACCCTGGATGGGCCCCATGGCGCCGCTCATCACTCTCACTGCCACCCTCGTGTGAGTTTTTTCTGCAATTAAGTACGGTTGAGTGCGGTTGAGTGCAGCTGTGCATGGCGGTGCAAGCAGCAGCGCAGGTGCTATTCTGGATGGCGCCCGTGGCGCCGCTCATCACTCTCACTGCCACCCTCGTGTGAGTTTTTTCTGCAATTAAGTACGGTTGAGTGCGGTTGAGTGCAGCTGTGCATGGCGGTGCAAGCAGCAGCGCAGGTGCTATTCTGGATGGCGCCCGTGGCGCCGCTCATCACGCTCACTGCCACCCTCGTGTGAGTTTTTTCTGCAATTAAGTACGGTTGAGTGCGGTTGAGTGCAGCCGTGCATGGCGGTCCAAGCAGCAGCGCAGGTGCTATTCTGGATGGCGCCCATGGCGCCGCTCATCACGCTCACTGCCACCCTCGTGTGAGTATCCCTATCCCGTAGTGCGGCTGAGTGCGGCTGAGAGTGGTTGACTGGTTGGCTTATTGTAAAAATGCCAGGAATGGTGTTTGATTGCCGTGCTATGCCTGAAAGGATGGGGTACGGCAATCAAACACCGCAATCAGAAAGGGTTGTGGAGTAAGCCATGTGGCACCGCTTACTGACCCTCCCCTCTCTTTGATAAAACTTGTATTTTGAGACGTCTCAAAATAAAACCTTTATCACGTATTTTTGAGTCGCCTCAAAAATAGGCTCACGTAAGCCATGTGGCACCGCTTGTGACCCTCCCCTCCCTCTCCCTCCTCCAACCCTCTTCCTCTTCCCCAAACAGCTACGTAGCCTGCTTCACCATGGGAGCCGGACCTGTGCCGGGCCTGATGCTGCCTGAGATGCTGCCGAACCACATCCGAGCCAAGGGCATGGCCTTTGCCATGTGTGTACACTGGGTGAGTGGATGGTGCATGATGCATGCGGAATTCCGCGTGGTGAATGGTGTGTAGTATATGGTACTATGAGTCGAGTTTTGAGTCGACTCAAAACTTGTGCACTGGGTGTGTGGATGGTGCATGATGCATGCGGAATTAAGCGTGGGAAATGGTGTGTAGTATATGGCACTATGCATGCACCAGGCATGTGATGGGGCATGTTTCATCTTTACAGACTGGTAATGCTTTTGAGGCTTCTTAAAAGTGAATTTATCTCCCCTCTGTTCCCTTCATCTCCAGGTCTTAAACGTCATGGATGGTTTCCCCTTCCTGCCTCTCATGGTTTGCTTCGGCCCAACAACCCTCTTCTCATTCTTGCTAGGCACCCTTCATACATGCCCCATTATGTGCTCCTCCCTTCCCGTCCTTATCCCGTTGTTTTCTCTCCAGGTCTTCAATTTCATGGTCGGTTTCTCCTTCCTGCCTCTCATGGTTCGCTTCGGCTCAACCACCCTCTTCTCCTTTTGATTTTCCTCACCAGAATGCCTCAATCTCTTTCTTCCCTCCGCTCCTCTCCAGGTCTTCAATTTCATGGTCGGATTCTCCTTCCTCCCCCTCATGGTCCGCTTCGGCCCAACCACCCTCTTCTCATTCTTCGCTTGCGTATGCTTCGCGGGTGCACTCTTCACCGCCACGTCTCTTGTCGAAACAGCGGGTCGCTCTTTAGAGGAGATAGAGGAGCAGCTGCTGCCCCCAGCCTAGGGAGTGCCGTGTTACTGTATAATACACGTTGCTTGCAAGGCGTCAATGAGTAGAAAAGGTGGAGGTGTTTCCGGAGTGACTTGTGATATGGATCTGAGTTCCCACGTGCCCAGTTCTTGCCTGCAGAAATGCTGAATATGTGTGTCTGTCGTCATGCTTTATCACAAGCAAGTCTAGGAATATCGGTGTATGTGCTGGGAGTTGGGTACCATGTAATAATTCAATGTATATATGTACTCTATGTACAATACATAACAAAGAAGTAAAACTAGCTGGATTGAGCAACTATTCAAAGTGTGCTCTGAAAGAGATAAAAATACTGTTATGTCTGTAGCTGTGCTTAAAGGTAAAACTTGTTCTTTTCTTTCCTGTGCATAACCCTCATGAAAACAATTACTGGTACACCAGTTGATACTCAAATACACTACTGATTACTCAACACCCACATGAGTATTGTGATGACATTTTGTTCTCCTTGTCACCAACTCTACATATACCAGCAGCCCAGCTTTGAGGCGCCTCAAACTGATTTTCTGTTCTCCTTGCCACCGATTCTACATATACCATCAGCCCATCCACCTTTGCACTTTCTCCAAATCCAGCTCTCCACATCATCATCTCGTCCAAAAAGGATCGACTAGAATCCTTTTGAGGCGCCTCACAAGTCGTTTGCAAATCCAGCTCCAAACATCATCTCATCCCGAACGGATTGATTAGAATCCTTGTTTCCCGCTTCTCCTCCTGCTGCTCTTACCACAGCAATACTTCCCAGCCCCCCCTGCCCCTCTTCCTCTCATCTCCATCGCCTCCATCTGTGCAGCCAGCATTGCCAGCTGACTGCTGTTGCGATCCGCATCCCTATCTGCCACCGCCCCTGCTACCCCTCCTGCTGCTCTTCCCGCTGCTGAAACCATACTTCCCAGCTCCCCCTGCTCCTCCTCCTCTCATCTCCGTTGCTTCCATCCGTGCAGCCAGCACAGCCAGTTGCGAGCTGTAGTGATCCTGAGGGGACACAGACACCTGCTCACCCCCTGCCGCTCCTCCTGCTGTTGCCCGTGCCATATCCCCTGCCGTTGCTTTGTCCCCTGTATCCTCTGCCTCACCAGATGGGCTGATTGCAGCTGCTGCATCAGAAGAGGTGCTCCTGCTCTTGCTGCTGCTCCTGTTCTTGCTGTCACTGCTCCCGCTGCTGCTGCTGCTGCTGCTGCTGATGCTGTTGCTCCTCCGGTTGTTACCACTGCTGCTCTTGCTGCTGCCGTTGCTGCTGCTACTGCTCTTGGGACTGTTGGCAGCAGCAGCCGCGGCCATCTGGAGCGCTTGCATCCAGAGGGCATACGAGTCACGGTCAAGCCTGCATGGGATGCATGGAGAGAGTGGAGAGATTGAAGAGAGTGGAATGAGTGAGTGACAGCAGGAGGGGCATGAGCAGCAGGAGTGGCAATGGCAGCAGCAGCAGCAGCCATCTGCAGTGCTTGCATCCAGAGTGCATACGAGTCACGGGCAAGCCTGCATGGGATTGAGGGCGCAGGTGGGAGAGAAGGAGAGTGAGAGGCAGTGGCAACCACAGCGGCAGTATCAGCAGCAGCAACCATCTGGAGTGCTTGCATCCAGAGTGCATACGAGTCAGGGGCAAGCCTGCATGGGATTGAGGGCGCAGGTGGGAGAGAAGGAGAGTGAGAGGCAGTGGCAACCACAGCGGCAGTATCAGCAGCAGCAGCAGCCATCTGGAGTGCTTGCATCCCGAGGGCATAAGAGTCACGCTCAAGCCTGCATGGGATTGAGGGTGCGAAGAGAGAGGAATGGGTGGATGCAAAAGGGAAACAAGGGAGTGAGCGGCAGCAGCAAGGGCCATCTGGAGTGTCTTTTGAGTCGACTCAAGGTGTTGTTTTGCTTAAATCTGGGCGAGAGAGCAAAACAACACCTTGCCTGCTTTTGAGTCAACTCAAAAACAAGGGAGTGAGTGTGGAAGCGGTCCCAGCAGCGGCAGCAGAGACCATCTGGAGCGCTTGTATGTGGGGGCAGCAGTGACAGCATGTGGGGGCAGCAGTGACAGCATGTGGGGGCAGCAGTGACAGCATGTGGGGGCAGCAGTGACAGCATGTGGGGGCAGCAGTGACAGCATGTGGGGGCAGCAGTGACAGCATGTGGGGGCAGAAGTGACAGCATGTGGGGGCAGCAGTGACAGCATGTGGGGGCAGCAGTGACAGCATGTGGGGGCAGCAGTGACAGCATGTGGGGGCAGCAGTGGCAGCATGTGGGGGCAGCAGTGACAGCATGTGGGGGCAGCAGTGACAGCATGTGGGGGCAGCAGTGACAGCATGTGGGGGCAGCAGTGACAGCATGTGGGGGCAGCAGTGACAGCATGTGGGGGCAGCAGTGACAGCATGTGGGGGCAGCAGTGACAGCATGTGGGGGCAGCAGTGACAGCATGTGGGGGCAGCAGTGACAGCATGTGGGGGCAGCAGTGACAGCATGTGGGGGCAGCAGTGACAGCATGTGGGGGCAGCAGTGGCAGCATGTGGGGGCAGCAGTGACAGCATGTGGGGGCAGCAGTGACAGCATGTGGGGGCAGCAGTGACAGCATGTGGGGGCAGCAGTGACAGCATGTGGGGGCAGCAGTGACAGCATGTGGGGGCAGCAGTGACAGCATGTGGGGGCAGCAGTGACAGCATGTGGGGGCAGCAGTGACAGCATGTGGGGGCAGCAGTGACAGCATGTGGGGGCAGCAGTAACAGCATGTGGGGGCAGCAGTGACAGCATGTGGGGGCAGCAGTGGCAGCATGTGGGGGCAGCAGTGACAGCATGTGGGGGCAGCAGTGACAGCATGTGGGGGCAGCAGTGACAGCATGTGGGGGCAGCAGTGACAGCATGTGGGGGCAGCAGTGACAGCATGTGGGGGCAGCAGTGACAGCATGTGGGGGCAGCAGTGACAGCATGTGGGGGCAGCAGTGACAGCATGTGGGGGCAGCAGTGACAGCATGTGGGGGCAGCAGTGACAGCATGTGGGGGCAGCAGTGACAGCATGTGGGGGGCAGCAGTGACAGCATGTGGGGGCAGCAGTGACAGCATGTGGGGGCAGCAGTGACAGCATGTGGGGGCAGCAGTGACAGCATGTGGGGGCAGCAGTGACAGCATGTGGGGGCAGCAGTGACAGCATGTGGGGGCAGCAGTGACAGCATGTGGGGGCAGCAGTGACAGCATGTGGGGGCAGCAGTGACAGCATGTGGGGGCAGCAGTGACAGCATGTGGGGGCAGCAGTGACAGCATGTGGGGGCAGCAGTGACAGCATGTGGGGGCAGCAGTGACAGCATGTGGGGGCAGCAGTGACAGCATGTGGGGGCAGCAGTGACAGCATGTGGGGGCAGCAGTGACAGCATGTGGGGGCAGCAGTGACAGCATGTGGGGGCAGCAGTGACAGCATGTGGGGGCAGCGGTGACAGCATGTGGGGGCAGCAGTGACAGCATGTGGGGGCAGCAGTGACAGCATGTGGGGGCAGCAGTGACAGCATGTGGGGGCAGCAGTGACAGCATGTGGGGGCAGCAGTGACAGCATGTGGGGGCAGCAGTGACAGCATGTGGGGGCAGCGGTGACAGCATGTGGGGGCAGCAGTGACAGCATGTGGGGGCAGCAGTGACAGCATGTGGGGGCAGCAGTGACAGCATGTGGGGGCAGCAGTGACAGCATGTGGGGGCAGCAGTGACAGCATGTGGGGGCAGCAGTGACAGCATGTGGGGGCAGCGGTGACAGCATGTGGGGGCAGCAGTGACAGCATGTGGGGGCAGCAGTGACAGCATGTGGGGGCAGCAGTGACAGCATGTGGGGGCAGCAGTGACAGCATGTGGGGGCAGCAGTGACAGCATGTGGGGGCAGCAGTGACAGCATGTGGGGGCAGCAGTGACAGCATGTGGGGGCAGCGGTGACAGCATGTGGGGGCAGCAGTGACAGCATGTGGGGGCAGCAGTGACAGCATGTGGGGGCAGCAGTGACAGCATGTGGGGGCAGCAGTGACAGCATGTGGGGGCAGCAGTGACAGCATGTGGGGGCAGCAGTGACAGCATGTGGGGGCAGCAGTGACAGCATGTGGGGGCAGCAGTGACAGCATGTGGGGGCAGCAGTGACAGCATGTGGGGGCAGCAGTGACAGCATGTGGGGGCAGCAGTGACAGCATGTGGGGGCAGCAGTGACAGCATGTGGGGGCAGCAGTGACAGCATGTGGGGGCAGCAGTGACAGCATGTGGGGGCAGCAGTGACAGCATGTGGGGGCAGCAGTGACAGCATGTGGGGGCAGCAGTGACAGCATGTGGGGGCAGCGGTGACAGCATGTGGGGGCAGCAGTGACTGTTGTAATTGTACACTATATACAACATTCATAGGCTAGAATAGGTGTAGTCCTTTAGGTTCTTGTGGGGTTGGGTGTACACTCCAACCACACTTTGTGGTTGGTCAAGATTGGATTTGGTCTTGGCCCTTGGTTGGCACTTGCCAACTTTTGGTCCTTAGACCAACCAATCCCAACCTAGCCACATTGTGAGGTTGCCTACTCCACAAGGCACCTCACCCATTGGCCAACTTATTGGCCAATAGGGTTAGCTCCTCCTACAACCTTCTCTTCCTTGCATGCTTGTATTATAGAGCCTTGTTGGCTCATTACTAATCATACTCTTGAATTCTATCATGGTATCCAGAGCCAAATGGCTCATGCCGTCCTCTCTCGATCCTTAGACTGTTTTTTACTCCCCGCTCCTCTACCCTAGCGGATTATGACATACATCCGCCCTCCCGCACCTCAGATCTAGCCTTCCGCGGCTCAGTACCGCCCTCCCGCACCTCAGATCTAGCTTTCCGCGGCTCAGATCTACTCCTCCGCGGCCTCAATTCTCCCTCCCACGGCCTCAATCCTCCCTCCCGCGGCCTCAATCCTCCCTCCCGCGGCCTCAATCCTCCCTCCCGCGGCCTCAATCCTCCCTCCCGCGGCCTCAATCCTTCCTCCCGCGACCCT